ACCAGGTGGAAGGACAAATACACTCTCAGAGACACCCACAGAAGAACTCCAACCATAACAACCGCAAAGCAAATGAATAAACTCAACCAAAACCCACACACTGTTTCCTCTGCACCCACTCCCCACCACAAACCCCACCTCTACAGCAGCCCCCTTTGGGCCCTCTGCCCCCACCCCTCCCATCAGAAACCCCACCCCTACAAAACCCCCCTTTGGGCACTCTGCCCCACCCCCACCACAAACCCCATCCACACTATGACAACCCCAACACAGCCAAACACTCTCAATCAACACCCACACACTGTTCCCTCTGCCCCCACCCCCCACATCACAAAACCCACTGCCACAGCAGCTCCCTACGGGCACTCTGCCCTCAGCCCCCATCACAAATCCCACCCACACCACAAACTCCCATAGCCTCCCCAGGGCTCCTGCCCCCCAACCCCAATATTCTCCCAGGTCCACCATGATAGACAAGAAGCTGAAGGTGTGGTACAAAAACGCAGATGGAATAGCAAATAAATACGAGGAATGGCACGAAAGAATTGACGAGAAGTCCCCGGACATCGTAGCAGTCACAGAAACGAAACTCAATGAGACAATAACAGACGCAGTCTTCCCACCGAGATATCAGATCCTGAGGAAAGATAGAAGGAGCAGAGGGGGAGGAGGAGTTGCGCTGCTCATAAAAAAACGATGGAGTTTCAAGGAAATGGAGGACATGGACGAGACTGGCACAATTCAAGCTAGGGAACGTAAGGTAGTCATTGTTGTGATGTATAACCCACCACAGAACTGCAGGAGGCTGGGGTGGCACGAAGAGCTCAATCGTGCAGAGCAAAGTTACTGGTTATGGGTGATTTCAACCACAAGGAGATCGATTGGGAAAACCTGGAGCCTCATGGGGGCCCCGAAACATGGAGAGCCAAGATGATGGATGTGGTACTGGAAAACCTCATGCATCAACACATCAGGGACACAACCAGAGAGAGAGGGGAGGATGAACCAGCAAGATTGGACCTTGTGTTCACCCTGAGTAGCTCAGACATTGATGACATCTCATATGAGAGGCCCCTCGGGGTTAGTGACCATGTAGTCCTGAGTTTTGATTACATAGTAGAGTTACAGGTGGAGAGGGTAACAGGAGTCGTATGGGAAAAGCCAAACTATAAAAGGGGGGCTACACAGGTATGAGGAACTTCCTGCAGGAGGTGCAGTGGGACATAGAAATGGTAGGAAAGACAGTAAATGAATTGATGGAATGTGTAACAACAAAATGCAAGGAGGCAGAGGAAAGGTTTGTTCCCAAGGGCAACAGAAACAATGGGAAGGCCAAAGCGAACGAGTGTTTGGTTTTCCTGAAGGTGCAGGGAGGCAAAAACTAAGTGCATTAGAGAATGGAAGAGGTACAGAAGGCAAAGGACCCAGGAAAACAAGATCAGTCGAAGAGCCAGAAACGAATATGCACAGATAAGGAGGGATACCCAGCGACAGTTCGAAAGTGGGATAGCATCGAAAGCAAAGTCTGACCCAAAACTGCTGTTTAGCCACATTAGGAGAAAGACAACAGTCAAAGACCAGGTGATCAGGCTGAGGAAAGAAGGCGGGGAACTCACAAGAAACGATCAAGAGGTATGCGAGGAGCTCAACATGAGATTCAAGGAAGTATTCAAAGTGGAGACAGGAAGGACTCTGGGAAGACAGGACAGAGGGGGACACCAACAGGGAATAGACCAACAAGTGTTGGACGATATGCACGCAACTGAGGAGGTGAATAAGCTGCTAAGTGACCTTGATACCTCAAAGGCAATGGGACCGGACAACATCTCCCAGGGGGTCTTCAGGGAGGGAGCAGATATACTGTGTGTCACATTAACCACAATCTTTAACACATTCCTTGAGACTGGGCAACTACCTGAGGATTGGAAGACCGCAAATGTAGCTCCATTTTTAAAAAAGAGAGAAAAGAGGCACTAAATTACAGACAAGTGTCACTGACGTGTATGGTATGCAAAGTCATGGAGAAGATTATCAGGAGGAGAGTGGTGGAGCACCTGGAACGGAACAAGATTATAAACGACAGCCAGCACGGATTCATGGAAGGCAAATCCTGTGTCACAAAGCTTCTTGAGTTCTATGACAAAGTTACAGAAGTACGACACGAGAGAGAGTGGTGGGTTGATTGCATTTTCTTGGACTGCAAGAAGGCCTTCGACACAGTTCCTCACAAGCGACTAGTGCAGAAACTAGAGGATCAGGCACGTATAACAGGAAGGGCACTGCAATGGATCAGAGAATACCTGACAGGGAGGCAACAACGAGTCATGGTACGGGACGAGGTATCGCAGTGAGCACCTGTGAAGAGCGGTGTCCCACAGGGGTCTCTCCTAGGACCAGTGTTATTTCTGGTATATGTGAATGTATGATGGATGGGATAGACTCAGAGGTATCCTTGTTCGCAGATGATGTGAAGTTAATGAGGAGAATCAAATCAGATGAGGACCAGGCAGGACTTCAAAGAGACCTGGACAGGCTGGACACGTGGTCCAGCAACTGGCTTCTTGAATTCAACCCTGCCAAATGCAAAGTCATGAAGATCGGAGAAGGGCAAAGAAGACCGCAGACAGAGTATAGTCTAGGTGGCCAAGGACTGCAAACCTCGCTCAAGGAGAAAGATCTTGGGGTGACCATAACACTGAGCATGTCTCTGGAGGCACACATCAACCAGATAACTGCTGCAGCATACGGGCGCCTGGCAAACCTGAGAACAGCGTTCCGATACCTTAGTAAGGAATCGTTCAAGACACTGTACACTGTGTACATCAGGCCCATACTGGAGTATGCAGCACCAGTTTGGAACCCACACCTGGTCAAACACGTCAAGAAATTAGAGAAAGTGCAAAGGTTTGCAACAAGGCTAGTTCCGGAGCTCAGGGGTATGTCCTACGAAGAAAGGTTGAGGGAAATCGGACTGACGACATTGGAGGACAGGCGGGTCAGGGGAGACATGATAACGACATTCAAAATACTGTGTGGAATTGATAAGGTAGACAGAGACAGGTTGTTCCAAAGAGGGAAACAGAAACAAGGGGTCACAATTGGAAGCTGAAGACTCAGACGAGTCAGAAGGACGTTAGGAAGCATTTCTTCATTCATAGAGTCGTCAGGAAGTGGAATAGCCTAACAAGTGAAGTAGTGGAGGCAGGAACCATACATAGCTTTAAGACGAGGTATGACAAAGTTCTTGAAACAGAGAGAGAGAGGACCTAGTAGCGATCAGTGAAGAGGCGGGGCCAGGAGCTGAGTCTCGACCCCTGCAACCACAATTAGGTGAGTACAATCACTCATATATATATATATATATATATATATATATATATATATATATATATATATATATATATATATATATATATTCCCTAATATAGTGAATACAAAAGTTTGTTGAATATACACAGAGACACACCCATAGGTATAAATATTCATAGATACGACTGTGTACAGACACCACGATAGCTCTGTGTATGAATGGTATTCACTTCAAAATACTTTCGCACTAATACTTTACCTTATTCATCTAAGGACAGCTTTGGGAAGGTAATTGTGCCAATAAGTGAAAAACACAAACTCATGGAGAGAAAAAATGACGGAATGTATCAGAGTATAGTGACACAAACACTGTTGTATGGGTGTGAAATATGCTTTTTAAACGTCACATTAAGGAAGAGGCTGGAGGCATTTGTTGATAATATGTAGTGTGAATATTAATGCAGAAAGTTAGGATCTTGGAGATTAAAAGGTGTGGAGGTATCAAAAATATTATTTAGAGGGCTGAGGTGGGGTTCTTGAGATGATTTGGACATTTAAAGAAAGCAGAGAAAAATTGATGATTAGAAGGCCATTATAAATTTAGTGTAAATGGAAGGAGGGGCAGGAGACGCCCATGGAAGGGGGAGAGGGAGGGGGTAAGGCATGTCTTAAAGTCTTAGGGGCTTGGACAGCCAACAGGCTTATGTTCGCGCGTTAGATATTACATAAGGCAAGTTTTTTTTCAAATGTGAGCAAAGTAACATTTATGAAGGGATTCAGTGAAAAGCCGGTTAGCCAGATTTAAGTCGTGGAGGTAGGAATTAGTGCCTGCACTCTGAAGGAGAGGCGGGTGTGTCGTTGTTTAGAGTGTCATCTGAACGATGATGCAACCACATGTGTACCAACACAGTGATTGAATGATTAATAGAGTAAGTGTTCTTCTTCTGATCACCCTTCCTCGGTGGGATACTGCCAGTGTTAAAAAAAAGTCATGGCAACAATGGGAAAGGAAGGACTGATAGGATATACCACTGAAAAAGAAAGGTTGTTGGTAGACAGGAAAAGAAATCAAATGGCCAAATTACTTTTGGGTGGATTATAAAGAAGCTTAATATATCACACAGTGACGAGTGTTCATATAAGAATGTCTCACTGAGGTTGAAATATTCACATAAATTAGTATACATATGAATTATTACACAGGACAAAAGTGTTACATTCATATCTAAATAACTGACAGCAAAGAATTTATAAAATACGCTTTCGACATATATTTATCTGAATTACATCAGAAAACTAGCGGGAGAGCAATATTACTGCAAAACAATTATTGTTATTTTAACGCCAATTTTCATGGATTATGAGTATGAAACTGCATATTAATATAAGCTTAGTAAAGTGTGTTAATTTATTCTTTAATATTAAGCCCCAAGGTCAGGATGCACGCAGAGAAGCATAGTGTTGTCAAGCATTCATTGACTGTGAATATATTTCCCGTTAGCAGTCTCTAACACCATTTCGCTCCGTTCAGATGAAAATCATTAAAAATCTAACCACAGCATATCATTAACTCATATTAAGAGTAAAAGGCGCGTGCTGTAGAAATCTGCGAAAGAATTCTACACATTTCTTGACGAGGAAAGCCAGACAAGACGCGAAGATAAACGTCCGCCTTTGCTTGGGTGTGTGTCAGCAGATGCCGTGCTTGGCATTGCTACTCGGTACAACACTCAGTGGTGACACACGAGAGGAGCGCCGGTCGCAACAGCAAGGTGAACACAAGGCCTCATTCACACCCCATAGGAGTAGCTAATCATACACAAAGTTGAGCACCCGGCATGATACAGACTCCGAGGAACACCTAATCATATATACAGGTAAGTACCGGCCATTATGTTGACTGCCAGAGGAACAGTTTATCATACACGTATGAGAACCTAGAATGAAGTAGATCCCTGACCGATTTTTTTTTATTCTCTCACACCATTTAAGAACTGTTGTCATATCTCAACTCGTTTCATAGCCTATACCTGGTTAAGGAATACTGTCAATCCCTTAGAATGCGACAAACCAGTCTGCTAACACCCAGTACCCATGAACTGCTTGGTAAACAGGGCGCAGGAAACATGCATGCGTCCTGCCTCGCATGAGCCAGTGAGCCTGTTGCAGTGTTCCTTCTTTTCTTATGCTCTCTTCACTAAAACTAAATAGAGCCGCAGTGTCCTGCTATCTTATTCTATTGAGAGCTACTGCACAGGAAAAACTAGCCATGTTTCCTTGGGTTGCATTCATAAGTTACCTTGACTTATTTCCTTGTTATACTCCATCACAAAAGGTGAATTGCATTCATAAGTTACCTAGACTTAAATACTCCATCACACAGGATGGGTTGCATTCATAAGTTACCTAGACTTAAAAGAAATACTCCATTAGACAGGATGGGTTGCATTCATAAGTTACCTAGACTTAAAAAAAAAACTCCATCAGACAGGATGGGTTGCATTCATAAGTTATCTAGACTTAAAAGAAATACTCCATTAGACAGGATGGGTTGCATTCATAAGTTACCTAGACTTAAAAAAAATACTCCATCACACAGGATGGGTTGCATTCATAAGTTACCTAGGCTTACATCCTTGTCATACTCCATCTCTCCAAGAGAGAACCCGCAATAATGGATTCAAGTTGGACAAGTTAAGATTTAGAAAGGATATAGGAAAGTATTGGTTTGGATATAGGGTAGTTGATGAGTGGAACTGTCTACCTAGTTGGGTTATTGAGGCTAAAACCTTGGTAGTTTCAAATTTAGGTTGGATAAATATATGAGTGAGAGGGGTTGGATTTGAGTAAGACTTGCGTATGAGAGTGAATAGAGTTATCAGAGCTTATTTCTTGGGTGGCATTGGAAATTGGGTTGGGCAAATGTTTTGTTAGTGGGACGGATTGTGAAGGACCTGCCTAGTTAGGTTAGGTTAGGTAAGGTTCGTCAGGAAACAGGACAAATGTTTCCTGACGCGGGTCTTAGTCAGATGATGACCCGCCTTTGGAGCTTTTGGTCATCTGACCGAGGGCTTCCGCTGGCTTACCGGTCCACCCCTTTAAAAATTATGGTCATTTATAACCATTGTCTAGTATGGGCCAACAGGCCTGCTGCAGTGTTCCTCCTTTCTTATGTTCTTATGTTCTTATAAGTTACCTAGACTTACATCCATCACACAGGATGGGTTACTTTCATAAGTTACCTTGACTTATCTCCTTGTTATACTCCATCACACAAGGTAAGTTGCATTCATAAGTTACTCCATCTCACAGGATGGGATGCGTTCATAAGTTACCTAGACTTACATCCTTGTCATACTCCATCACACAGGATGGGTTGCATTCATAAGTTACATAGACTTGTTTCGGTTGCTCCGCCATCCGAGTAAGGTATCACACATATCCCTTTTTTTTACAATGCACATACATCAACAGTGTGCTGTTGGAAATATAAACACATATGCAGTATAATGTGATCCTTTATTGACTACGTTTCACCCACACAGTGGGCTGTTACTCTCTTCTGTATGATGGTTACATACTGGTAACTAAAGCTTACTATGTTTCCATGTCGCATTCCATCACTCAAGTTGGGTCATAATACTGCTGAAATCTGCCGGCCTGAGCTAGGAAAATTCGCCCAAGTATCCAGACCCTTGTAATTCAATGTATGCAAAAGGAAAAGAACAGAGAACGGCAATTAAATATCAGCGTTGAAGATTTGAAGCTCGTCACAAAATGCACTCAAATAATATCGCATGAAAACTAATAAAAATCAATTTCAAAACAATAACAATCCCATCCATCTAAGTAGTGTTTACAATTTGGTGTTCAAAGACTGAATCCAGTCAAGCGAGACTTTCTCAAGACATTGCACAGAAACCAAAATTTTATATATAAAGGCATATGCACATGTAAAAAGATGCATAAAACTTTCCCTATGTCGTTTGAGCTAATTCTACTGTCACAGATAAATTTAAATATATATTATATTTCTTAAAGTCATTGAAGTATATGTTTTTCGTCATGTTCATATCGGTTTTCGACGATTTATTGCATAAAATATTCTGCTTATTCGGCAGAAGTGACTCTTACATTTTAGGCCAAACTCACCGATCTGCCTCAACAATTAAGCCTCACGGACCTCACTGGTCACATCATCACTCAGCCTCATGAACTTACTGATCAACACACATCGATGAACCTCATGAACTTTATTGGTCACACACAGCGCGATCATCAGTATGAACATCCCTGATCAACATACACACCATTCAACCTCATGAACTTCCCTGATCAACATAAACACCATCCAGTCTCATGAACTTCCCTGATCAACACACACACCATTCAACCTCAAGAACCTCCCTGATCAACATACACACCATTCAACCTCAATAACCTCCCTGATCAACACACACACCATTCAACCTCATGAACTTCCCTGATCAACACACACACCATTCAACCTCAAGAACCTTAATGATCAACATACACACCATTCAACCTCAATAAACCTCCCTGATCAACACACACACCATTCAACCTCATGAACTTCCCTGATCAACACACACACCATTCAACCTCAAGAACTTCCCTGATCAACATACACACCATTCAACCTCAAGAACCTCCCTGATCAACATACACAACATTCAACCTCAAGAACCTCCCTGATCAACACACACACCATTCAACCTCATGAACTTCCCTGATAAACACACACACCATTCAACCTCAAGAACTTCCCTGATCAACATACCCCACCATTCAACCTCATGAACTTCCCTGATCAACACACCACACCATTCAACCTCATGAACTTCCAGATCAACACACACACCATTCAACCTCAAGAACTTCCCTGATCAACACACACACCATTCAACCTCATGAACTTCCCTGATCAACACACACACCATTCAACCTCAAGAACTTCCCTGATCAACATACACACCATTCAACCTCATGAACTTCCCTGATCAAACACACACACCATTCAACCTCAAGAACCTCCCTGATCAACACACACACCATTCAACCTCATGAACTTCCCTGATCAACACACACACCATTCAACCTCAAAAACCTCCCTGATCAACACACACACCATTCAACCTCAAGAACCTCCCTGATCAACACACACACCATCAACCTCAAGAACTTCCCTGATCAACACACATACCATTCAACCTCATGAATTTCCTTTATCAATACACACACCATTCAACCTCAAGAACTTCCCTGATCAACACACACACCATTCAACCTCATGAACTTCCCTGATCAACATACACGCCATTCAACCTCATGACCTTCCCTGATCAACACATACACCATTCAACCTCATGAACTTCCCTGATCAACATAAAACACCATCCAATCTCAAGAACTTCCCTGATCAACATACACACCATCCAGTCTCATGAACTTCCCTGATCAACATACACACCATCCAATCTCAAGAACTTCCCTGATCAACATACACACCATCCAGTCTCATGAACTTCCCTGATCAACATACACACCAACCAGCCCTCATGAACTTCCCTGATCAACATACACACCATCCAGTCTCATGAACTTCCCTGATCAACATACACACCATCCAGTCTCATGAACTTCCCCTGATCAACATACACCCAATCCAGTCTCATGAACTTCCCTGATCAACATACACACCATCCAGTCTCATGAACTTCCCTGATCAACATACAAAACCATCCAGTCTCATGAACTTCCCTGATCAACATACACACCATCCAGTCTCATGAACTTCCCTGATCAACATACACACCATCCAGTCTCATGAACTTCCCTGATCAACATACACACCATCCAGTCTCATGAACTTCCCTGATCAACATACACACCATCCAGTCTCATGAACTTCCCTGATCAACATACACACCATCCAGTCTCATGAACTTCCCTGATCAACATACACACCATCCAGTCTCATGAACTTCCCTGATCAACATACACACCATCCAGTCTCATGAACTTCCCTGATCAACATACACAACATTTAACCTCATCAACTTCCCTGATCAACATACACACCATCCAGTCTCATGAACTTCCCTGATCAACATACACACCATCCAGTCTCATGAACTTCCCTGATCAACATACACACCATTCAACCTCAAGAACCTCCCTGATCAACACACACACCATTCAACCTCAAGAACTTCCCTGATCAACACACATACCATTCAACCTCATGAATTTCCTTTATCAATACACACACCATTCAACCTCAAGAACTTCCCTGATCAACACACACACCATTCAACCTCATGAACTTCCCTGATCAACATACACGCCATTCAACCTCATGACCTTCCCTGATCAACACATACACCATTCAACCTCATGAACTTCCCTGATCAACATACACACCATCCAATCTCAAGAACTTCCCTGATCAACATACACACCATCCAGTCTCATGAACTTCCCTGATCAACATACACACCATCCAATCTCAAGAACTTCCCTGATCAACATACACACCATCCAGTCTCATGAACTTCCCTGATCAACATACACACCAACCAGTCTCATGAACTTCCCTGATCAACATACACACCATCCAGTCTCATGAACTTCCCTGATCAACATACACACCATCCAGTCTCATGAACTTCCCTGATCAACATACACACCATCCAGTCTCATGAACTTCCCTGATCAACATACACACCATCCAGTCTCATGAACTTCCCTGATCAACATACACACCATCCAGTCTCATGAACTTCCCTGATCAACATACACACCATCCAGTCTCATGAACTTCCCTGATCAACATACACACCATCCAGTCTCATGA